GATGCAATAGAACAGGAGGTAATTTATTTCATTTGTACAAATGGGCCCCCTACTGCTGCAAGCAGCAAGCAAGTGAGAGGAGCCCCGAGCAGCTATCTTACACAGCTTTTAAAGGGCAAAACCACAAAATTAACATATTATAGGCTGGCGTAAGTTCATTGGATAATTTTCAGTAGCGGGCCTTGTATGGCAGTCTGAAGTGCTAATGTCGGTGGAAAAGTACTAGGTCAAAGGGATACATTAGAGGGAGGGGGTTTTTAGGAGACAGGAATAGGTTGCTACGGGCCTTGCAGCTTTCTTTGTTAACCTTGAGCAAGCGTAGGGAAGGGGCTTATCTACAAGGCAGGTGTTCTGTGTATCTCTGGTTAGTAGCTGACTGCTTTCTCTGTGAACCGGTTTACTCCCCATTTCCCAAGGCCGTCTCTGGAACGGTTTGTCTCAGGAGCCCCATTTTTTTTTTTTTTTTATGGTGGCTCTTGGCTCCTTTCACCCCCTAGGGGACTGCTGGCTGCCACGTCCTGAGGACCCACAGGCACCCTCTGGAGGTTCCTGTAGTGAGGAAGTAAGACCTCCTGCTGACAGCCATGGGCACAACACTTCTGAGAAGCAAAGCCCCTGGCCCCGGTCCAGCCTCCCATCACCCACAGCCCCTGCTGACCTCTCACTGCAACCGCAGGAGAGACCCTAAACCGCCCCCCGCAAGCCCCCCTGCCCCGTCCCTAACCCTCAGAAACTGGCTGTGTAACACGTTTATTGTGCTAAGTTGCTAACTCTGGGGACGAGTTATTACTCAGCCCTAGACAGCACACTAATGGCAGGTAAGATGCACTCAGTGTGTGTCGGTGGCGGGCTTCAGGCGGATTAGCTTACTTACACACCTCCTAGCAATCCTATGAACAGTTCCCATGATGAGCTGCACCTGGGGATGAAGAAACGCAAGGATACTGTGGGGAGCAACCCGGACTGGACTGAGTTACTGGAATTAAGACTTATTCTATGCATCTGCTCTCCCACAATATGGCGCTGGGAGAGGAGGCAACAGCTTCTACCCAGCTGCCTCTCACCAACTTGACAAGCTGCAGGACCTGCTCCTGATTGGAGGAGAGCAGCGTACTCGGCGTGTGGGTAGCAGAGTTGGGATTGGCGGAGGAGGACTATAAAGGAGGAGAGAGACGGCATGCACCAGGAACATCTAAGGGGAACATCTATCTGAAGGAACACCTGTGCAGCCCCCGAGAGAGCCGGCCGGCGGTGTGCCGCTCCCCCGCGGAAGTGGGGAATGTGGCAGGGGGAACCGCCCCTCCACGGAGGTGGAAGGGACAGTAGCCAACCCGGGAAGAACCAGCAGCAAACCCGGGGAGGGCCGAGCAGACGAAAGAACAGCGCAGGGTCCTGTGTCGTTCCTCCACGAAGACGGGGAGCGACAGATACAAAGTTAAAGTGGGCTTTAACTTTCTTGCCTGTGGTCACCCATCCCCCAGGTGCTGTGCTGGGTGCGAGTCACAGCTGCCCAACTTTCCCGTGACCGAACGAGAGTGGTCTCACCTAGGATGTCACACACACCCGCCCACCCCCAGCTGCGCCAGACCTCGGCCAGGGTGCTCTCCGTGGGCTCGGGCACAGCTCGGCTCTAGCTGGGGTTATTGTAACTGAGCTCGGTTCGTCCCTTTTCTCCTGAGTACTCCCTCCACCAACCGAGGGCGGTGCAACCTGTCTCAGGCTCCGCGTCGAAAGAACATCACCTAGTTAGGCACTAAGTGCTTTGCCCAGAATCCCAGTCTGGCTTTGAACCCAGGCAGCGTGACTCCAGAGGCCACACTCTTAACAATGTCACTGGCAAAAACCTGCTACCAACTGGCACCATGTTTCTGACTCCTGTTCTTGCCTGGCACAAGTGGTGCCTGGTTCACTGTGCCCACAGAAACCCCACAGATGGCAAGGCCGTGTGCAAGCCAGGCCATACCCCAGCCTCAGCCTGACCTCTCGCCCTCACCAGTCGGATTCAGATACTCATTCCTGCATCAACTGTTGCCCACTTCCTTGAAACAGTTTTACATTTTCTTCCTGTGTGGGAGGAATTGTGTCCCCATATCCCTAAAAAGATAGTTCGGAGGCCAGCAGAGTGGCACAGCAGGTTAAGCTGCTGCCTGGGACAACAGCAGCCCATATATATCTGAGCACTGGTTCATCCCTGCTGCTCCACTTACTATGCAGCTCCCTGCTAATGCACCTGGGAAAGCAGCAGAAGATGGCCCAAGTGCTTGGGCCCCTGCACCCACGTGGGAGACCCAGAAGAAGCTCCTGGCTCCTGGCTTCAGCCTGGCCCAGCCCTGGCCATTTGCAGACATCTGGAGAGTGAACCAGTGGATGGAAGATCTCTCCCTCTCTTTCTGTCACTCTGCCTTTCAAATAAATAAAATAAATCTTTTTTTTTTTTTTTAAGATATTTCCAAGTCCTTACTCCTGTTTCTGTGAACGTGACCTTATTTGGAAATAGTCTCTGCAGATGTGATTAAGGTAAGGATGTCTCAAGATGAGATTACCTGGATTTAGAGTGGACCCTCAATCTGAGGACCAGGGTCCCAATAAGAGAAAGTACAGATTTGAGACAAAGGGACATGGAGGGAAGACAGAGGCAGAGACAGGCTGAGGAATGCCAGCCGGGGACGCGGCAGCTGCAGGAGCCAGGTGGGCTGACGGCTTCATCACGGACTTCTAGCCTCCAGGATCACCAGAGGTTTCTGTTGTTTCAAGTTCCCCAGCGGGAAGCACAGAGACCTCGGTACCGTGGTCGCTGGTTTGTCTCAGCCCCAAACTCAGCAGCAGTGTTGCGGTATCAGCGGGAGTCAGGTGAGCTGTAGACTTCACTGCACATGTGGCTCCACCCACTACCCTGTGACGGTAACGTCACATTTCATAGCTAAAGCAGTGCTACAACCATTCCCATTCTGGTTTTTTTTTTCCTAAGATTTATCTATTTATTTGAAAGTCAGAGTTTCAGAGAGAGAAGGAGAGAGAGAAAGAGAGAGAGAGAGAGATCAATCTTATATCTCTTATATCTTCTGGTTCACTCCCCAGATGGCTGCAATGGCCAATGCTGAGCCAGGCTGAGGTCATTAGTCAGGAGCTTCATCCGGGTGTTCCATGGGGGTGCAAGAACCCAAGCACTTGGGCCATCTGCTGCTGCTTTTCCCAGGCCATTAGCAGGGAGCTGGATCAGAAGGCCACAGACCAGCGCCCACATGGCATGCAGGTGGCAGGTTTTTTTTTTTTTTTAAAGATTTATTTATTTATTTGAAAGGCAGAGTTATACTGAGGAGAGACAGACAGAGAGAGAGATCTTCCATCTGATGGTTCACTCCCCAGTTGGCCGTAACGGCTGGTGCTGTGCCGATCCGAAGTCAGGAGCCAGGAGTTTCTTCCAGGTCTCCCACGTGGGTGCAGGGGCCCAAGGACTTGAGCCATCTTGTACTGCTTTCCCAGGCCACAGCAGAGAGCTAGATAAGAAGTGGAGCAGCCAGGTCTCGAACTGGCGGTCATATGAGATGCCGGTGCTTCAGGCCAGGGTATTAACCTGCTGTGCCACAGCGCCAGCCCACAGGTGGCAGCTTTACCTGCTGTGCCACAGCACCGGCCCCCGACTCCCACTCTTTAACAGCTAACATTTGTCTCCAACATTGTCCAAGTGAAGGGTGCAGTGGTAGAAACAGTGTCGACTGTGGGTCTCTGGACTCCAAATCTTGAACTGTAGTCCCCAAGGAGAGCCTGGCAGGAAAACAAAGATAGTAGAGTGTGCTCCTTTGCCGCCTGTAACTTCATTTTCAAGTGTAGACACAGGGTGAGCATTTGGCACAGTGGCAGAGACATCTGCCTGCATTCCCTATCTGAGTTACTGGCTTTGAGTCTTGGCTTCACTCCGAGTTCCAGCTTCCTGTTCATGCGTACCTTGGGAGGCAGCAGGTGATGGCTCAAGTGTTTGGGCCTCTGCCACCCACATGGGAGACCTGGACAGAGTTCCCAGCTCTTGGCATCAGCCTGGGCCAGCTGTGGGTTTGCAGTCATTTGGGAGAATGCACCCCTGGATGGGTGATCTGTCTCTGTCTCTCTGCATTTCAAACAAATAAGCAAATAGGTAAAAATGTATTTTAAAAGAGAGAGAGATGCCAGGTACTCAATTTCAAAAGCAAATGAAATGCAGATCTGTGGGGATGTGGGGTGGAGTGGGAGCAGGGAGGTGGGGCCCAGGGTATCACCCTTCTGCTTTTGAGGTTACACTGCAAAGTCTAAGTCAAACATTGAAGTGACCCCTTCAGAGCCTTAATGATGCTGTAAATGCAATCTTGGTGTGACTTACACAGCTAGTAAAAATAAATGCTTCCACCAAAACACACACTCACCTCCCAGTCCGCATTGACATTGTAACGTTAAGCACAAACTTACCTGAACATGCGAGACCTCAGATGGTCTGGGTGCTGCATGCACACGAAGTGGGTGTGTGCATGTCTTGAGTGTCTTCTATTTATTTATTTACCGGAGAGGCAAAGAGAGGGGGGGGGGGGGAGAAAGTGATTCCATTTAGTGGCTTACTCTCCAAATGCCTCCAAAAGCTGCTGCCAGGCCAGAGTGCAGCCAGGAGAAGGGTAGTAGGAACACAAGTACTCAAGACATCACCTGCTGCCTCCCAGCACGAGCACTCACAGGATGCTGGCATCAGGAACACAGTGAGGTGTGGAACCCAGATACTCCGATGGGGGGTGCGCGTGTCCCAGCACTGTCTTGCCTGCGCCTGGAGAGCATGTTTTAAGGACAGCTGGTCTTCCGGCTGGACAAGTGCCTCAGGACCTGATGCCTGGCTGGGCACCCCACCCCTGAACCTCACAGCCCGTGCAGGAAAGCACTTTCTAGACGCACTCCCTGGCCCATCCGTGTGGTTGAGCTCACGTGGACAGTCCCACTTGGGTCATCACCACTTCTCGTGTCGCAGGAGTGCCTGCAGGGCGGGGGGCAGGAGGGAGGCATGACGAAAGGAGAAAGGGAGCCCAAAAAGGAAGAGAAAGGGAATTCTAGAGAATCTAGGACCTAGAGAACCCAGCTTCATGCCCCGGCTCCCCTGCTCCGTGACCAGGTGACTATGCGGAATTCCTTAGTCTCTCGGAGTCTCCACTTCCTCGTTTTGAACTGAGGACAGCAGCGTCTTCAGATCACAAGGCTTTTTAGGTGTAACTCACCTAAAAACATCCAAACCTGCTGCCTGGACGAGATGCTCCTACGTGTTCCCTGGACGAGGGAGGAAGGGAGCAAAAGCCTGGCTTTTTCCCCGTGGGAGGATGGCCCTGGGGCTTGGGGGCCTTGAGTAGGGGACACAGAAGCAAGCTGATTCCCTCCAGAGGCTGTCGGTGCAGCTCTGCCTGCCTGCTTATTTATGTGGCAGGTTTTCGTCATTTGCCATCCACACTTAGGGGATGAATTCCCTGGGAAGCACAGGCAGTCACAAACCAGCCAGCCAGACGACAGACACAGATAGCAGCAGCCAGGGCTGTAACTCCTACCCACTGACAGCCCTGCCACGGTGCTGAAAGCGCCCTTTCAAAGTCAGCAACAATAAGTTACAAGCCGCTGTGTGTGTGAAGGGCAGGAGAGAGGCGGCCAGAGGAGGGGGCAGCTAGCCCCGCTCTTTGTGCTGATGCACAGCGGGGAGCCGGGGCCCTGCCAGGCTGCACCCCAAGGCCCCCCTTGCTCTTTAGGGACGTGATCCTGGTTTTCCAATTTATAGAATACATGTTTAAGTCTTTAATTTTCTCTTTGTTTGCACACAGTACCTTTGGAATCTTTGAAATTGTCTTAACTAGAATGTAAACACGTTCAGCAACCATGGAAACAGGGTGGTGGTGCTCAGAAAGTTAAACATAAGGGGCTGGCGTTGTGGCTTAGTGGCCTAAGCAGCCACCTGCAGCGCCGGCATCCCCTGTGGGCGCCGGTTCGAGTCCCGGCTTCTCCATCTCCGAGCCAGCTCTCTAATGCACCTAGGAAAGCAACAGAAGATGGTCCAAGTGCTTGGGCCCCTGCACCCACATGGGAGACCTGGAGTAAGTTCCTGGCTCCCAGCTTTAGCTTGGCCTACCCGCAGCTGTTGGAGACATTTGGGGAGTGAACTAGAGGATGGGAGACCTCTCTGTCTCCCCCTCCCCCACCCTGTAACTCTGCCTTTCAAATAAATAAAATAAATCTTAAAAAAAAAAAGTTAAACATAGAATTACCATATGATCTGGCAATTCCACTACTAGACACCGGAAAACTGGTGCTCAAAACAGTATGTGGACTTCCTGCTAGCTAGGTCCCTAGGAACTAAACTGTAACCTGAAGATGACCACAGAGGGAGAACCCAGGGGGCGGGGTATATGAGGGCGGAGCATCTGGAGGCGGAGCCCACCAACCCAGGGCCCCGCAGCCTTGGCCCTAGTGCCCTGATGACTGGCGTCTCCCCAGTACAGGGAACCCTGCCCTTGCAGAAGCCTGGGGAAGCCCTGGCAGATTTTCTGTTTTGTCCCTGCCCCTTCGGGGTACTGCACCATCCGTGGGGAATGCAGGCTCCAAAATTCCCAAAGCTGGCTTCAACTCCTGGCTCCTGCTGCCCCGCTGTGGCTCCCACCTCCGACGCATCACTTCTGCTCCACCCAGCGCCTGGAGACCTCGCAGCCCGAGCTCAGTCACCGCTTTTCCCTCTGCCGCCCGCCAGCGCTGTGTTTCCGGGGCACGAGCCCCTCTTCTGTAGTCACGCCCCACTCCTGAGGGCTGGCTCTGGTCGTGCTTACGGGACTTGGGTAATTCTTAATCCTTTCCCTCCCAGCCCCCAGCCCCTTTGCCCTCCATCCACACAGGCATATGACCAGGGGCGGGCCCCCGCACAGGAGAGATATAAAAAGGACATTGTATCTGAGACTCTGAGCCCTCAGCTCAGATTTCTACCTCCCACGGCTCAATAATCAGGCTCGGGGTGTCACATGAGGACCCGTGACACTCCCCCCCGCCCTCGCCTCGCCCGGGCCCAGATGGTCTTCCGTTCTGCTGCAGACTGGACAAGCGGCTTGGGACAAAGCTTCTCACTGGCTGACCTCTAGGCAACCCTCATGGCGGCCTCACCTCGCCTGCTTGAGAGCCGGCTCCCGAAAAGTCGGGCATTTCCTGGATTCCGCAATCCAATCTTCATTTGCTCCTAATGATGGCTGTTATTTCTGGGCGCCCTTATCTTGGGCTAAGTGAGTCGTTTCATTTCATCCTCCTAACGATCCCCACCTGAAAGACCATTGCCCTGGCTCACACAGATAGAGCACCAGGTAGCAGGTGTCCTGCTCCAGCTGTGTGTCATTAACTCATCTGTCACCACTGCGGTGCAAGGCGGAGAGGCTACAGTCATCCTCCACTACGTGGGACTCAGAGAGGTTGAGCAAGTGGCTCTGGGGTCACTTGCCCAGCCAGCAAATGACAGATTCAAGTCCGGGGTGTCTCTGGCTCCCGAGGTGGCTGGCCATTCTGCTACACTGCCTCCTGTTGTTACCAAAACTGGTCCCACTTGCAGTTTCAGCAGCCCGAGGCTACCATTACAGATCGATAGGATGTGCGCCAGACGGGCCCGGCTCGCCCACGTGCATTCCCGAGGCGCTGAAGGACAGACTACACTGATTGATTTCTCCTCTGGGTCTTTAAATGTCAGTGTGTGCGTGACCACTTCAGACCTTGGGCACGAAATAAAATGCGGAAGAAAAAGACCTGCTGGTGTGGGGGATGAGAGGGGAGGGGGCAGACGCAGAGAAGTGGCCGGGAGCGTGCATGTGTGGGCTTCCTGGGCAGTGAGGAGGGGCCTCTTGGGACTAGTAGGGGACAGAGTGGGGTGGGAGCTGTGCTCTTGACCTTGGACTGCTACTGTGAAGCCATCTGTGGCATGACACCCACCGGAAGAGATGGGTCTTAACCCAATTTAGCTGCCTCTATACATATCGATCAGTCCCTGTTAGGAACTGCTCACTTAAAAGACCAGCCTGGCCGCCTGCACAGGCTCATCACCACCCACACCGTGTGACGGCACAAAGACAGCTCAGCCCGCCTCGCAGACCCAGGAACTCACCCAGGCCCCCTCCTGTCAGCAGCCCCCGTCGCACCGCTCCTGGAATGCCCAGTTCAATCATTCACGGCTGTAGGAGCCCAGGAGACAGGCACATGACCGAGACAGGGTGTCCTGCCCATACTTAGGCAGCCCGGAAGGGAGAACTGGGTGGGATAAGGAGGGACGCAGAAATATACCCAAGATGAATTTCAGGTGTGTTGTGTGCAATAGAAGACAATGATGTAACGTGAGAGGGACTTGCAGGAGGAGACAAGGGAAGGGGGAGGTAGCCCAGGAGGGCCTCTCCGAGGAGGTGACGTTTGAGCAGGATTCTAATTGGTGAGCCCACTCTGAGACCTGAAGAAAGAGCTCTCGAGTCAGGGAGCGTGGCTCACTCCAGACTCTGCAGCAGGAACAGACTTGGCCTAGGGGCCGTGAGAGGGCGCATGTGATGAGCAGCAGGGTGCCAGGCGGTGAGTGAGCGAGCAGAGGGCAGATGGGGCAGATCCCCAGTGCCTGCTGCTTTGTCCCGGTGGGATGGCTGTCCCTCACAGACAGCCCAGGTTCACCAGCAGGCCCTGGTCTAGCTCTTCCTCCCCTTCCCACCCGTATCAGTTCTGGCTTGACCCCTTGGCCTCACAGCCTGGGAAAGAGTCCAGAGAGGAGATTCTCACCCAGCCATGCCTTAGAAGAATGTCCAAGGTGGGGCGCCGAGGGAGGATGCCAGTGGCTGGGAGACCGGAGCGATGTCCTGATCTTCTGGGGCCCCCTGAGCCCCACATCACCTCCCAGCTGAGCGTTCAATCATCCAAATGTGCTCTGGGCTGTGTCTCGGAGCCTCTGATCCTGCTGGCCAAAGCTGGGCCACTTGGAGAAATCCACTCCTTTGTCTGGCATAAGTGATTCCGATTGCGTGAAGACTTTCCCAACTCCCACCCCCATGGAAGTGCAGGGTTAGGTGTTTTAGGTTTTGTTTTTTAAATTAAGAGGCAGAGTGAGAAAAACCCATAGGATGAGAAACCAAGAACTCCCATCTGCTGGTTCATGCACGCCATGTCCCTGAGGGCCCAGGGCTGGGTTGGGCTAAACCTCAATCCAGGTCTCCCGTACAGGCGGCAGGGACCCAACTTCTTGAGCCATCGCTGCTGCCTCGCAGGCTCTGCCCTGGCAGGGAACTGGAGCCAGGAGCCAGAGGCGGGTATCAAAGCTGGGTACTCAGCTATGGGACAAGGGGTCTTAATCGTTTGGCTGAACACCTGCCCCTGGGTTGGTGTTTTAAATGCATCTCTGGCACTTGTTTGAAGATGCACTTGACCTTTCATTTCCTTTTGTCTGCTCTTGGGGTTTTCTGGGTACCCATCTCTTCCATCACACCACAGGGTCCCCGGGCAGCAGGAACTCACATGTGAGTCCTGCCACGTCCCGGCTGGGAGGCTGTCGCTCCCCGTCTTCGTGGAGGAACGACACTAAGTCCTGCCTAGGCTTCATATCCGAGTCACGGCACCATTATGTCGCTCCCCTTCTTCATGGAGGAACGACACTAAACCCTGCCTAGGCTTCATATCCGAGTCACGGCACCATTATGTCGCACCCCCTCTTCGTGGAGGAACGACACAGGATTCTGCGTTGTTCTTTCGTCTGCTCGGCCCTCCCCGGGTTTGCTGCTGGTTCTTCCCGGGTTGGCTACTGTCCCTTCCACCTCCATGGAAGGGCGGTTCCCCCTGGCCACTTTCCCCACTTCCTCAGGGGAGCAGCACACCACCGGTCGGCTCTCTCGGGGGCTGCTCAGATGTTCCTCAGGTGTTCCCCTTAGATGTTCCTGGTGCATGCCGTCTCTCTCCTCCTTTATAGTCCTCCTCCGCCAATCCTAACTCTGCTACCCACACGCCGAGTACGCTGCTCTCCTCCAATCAGGAACAGGTCCTGCAGCTTGTCAAGTTGGTGAGAGGCAGCTGGGTAGAAGCTGTTGCCTCCTCTCCCAGCGCCATATTGTGGGAGAGCAGATGCATAGAATAAGTCTTAATTCCAGTAACTTAGTCTAGTCCGAGTTGCTCCCAGTTGCTCCCCACAGGAGGCCTTCAGCAAGGCACTTCATCTTTCAGATCCTGACTGCCTGTGAGTCCCCGAGAAGCAGACCTTGACCTTAACATCAGGATCAGAGGCTTATTGGGAGGTGGATCTAGGAAATACCAGTGGGCAACATGTGGGGGAGAGGGACGGGGAGCAAGACAGACAGGAAAGAAACCCAAATAGGTTACACTAAACAAAGTTACCATGACGGTAACTGAAGTTCAATCCTACTGGGTGACCTTGGGACACAATGGAAGAAATGGTGTCTAACCTGGCTGCCCACTACCATTGCCTGGGAGCCATAAAAACTGTGGGTGCCTGAGTCCTATCCACAGAGAGTCAGAAGCATTTGGCCTGGGATGTGGTCTGGTCCTCGAGATTTTTCTTAGGTTCCACAGGAGATCTAATGTGCAGCCAAGATTGGGGTCATCTGACTAGAAGGTCCTCTCAGGGCTGTCCCAGCCAGCAGGCGAAAAACTAGGACATTTATGCCAGCTCTGCCTCCGTCTTCGGTGGGAGATATTTCTGGCTTAGTCTGTGCATGGTCCAGCCTGCTCTTATGTCGGGAAAACAAGCAAACCAAGCTCCACAGATGTTCGCGGCCAGCAGGGTGAATATGTAGAGCGTTGGGGCCTGCTGTATGCATCTTTCATCTGCAACGCTGGAGTGATGGGGCAGGCTTTAGCACAGCAGGTAGAGCACCACTTTGGAGGCCTGCATCCCCCGTGGAAGTGCCTGGCTCTGCTTCCGATCCCAGCTTCCTGCTGATGTGCACCATGGGAGACAGCAGGTGCTGGCTCAAGTACTTGGGTCCCTGCCACCCATGTGGGAAACCAGG